GATGAAAGAATTCGTAACCGTGACTCCACCAGCTCTACGCCAACAGGGCCCTCAGTGCAATTTCTAGAATCTGTAACAGTCGTATAACTAACAAAAGTGTACTTTTCTAGCGCTAATACTCATTTTGGCTTCTATCATTTGTAATATTTGCTAATACTGGAGCTACAGTACCAGTACTGCCAATGCACAGATGCTAGAACTCTATCTATGAGTAGTTAGTGCCCGTTATTCCAGTTCTGGTACGTTCTGGTTCATTGCCATACCTAATAAAAGAAACAGATAAAATCATTTAATTGAGTTATTGTGAAGTGTTTTGATCAATACATGGATAGCATGCACTGTCAACGCTTAGAACCGACTTCCGTTGCTCCGCGACAACAATGCCTGACAAACTAATCAGAAGTATGGTTAGCTATTGTTGAATAACTGACGGGACTATGGACCATAAATGAGGACACGTAAGAAGACAAGAGTGCAAGAATGGACAAATATGTACGCCAAGTGTTTAGATCTATTCTAATCTCTCAGCCATTCTACTCCACTCAGTGTCAACAAATCGCTACTAGTCCGCCCAACCAGCACGACGATTGCCAAACTTCAAAGCTTTTAAAACTGACACGGGATAAGTTGATGGCCTTGCAAGAAAACAGGTATCGATTAATTGATTGCAAGAATAATAATGATCCTCGGCTGTAGATTTATGACTCAATGCAACAGTTGAAAAGGACGATATAAATTCCTTTACTTACTGATGCGTTTCGACGCAGAATAACAGCGTCATCGCCAGGGTTGTACTATAAAGGGGGGAGGGATGGGATGAAGTTTTATAAGCACGGTAATTGGGGAAGACTCACAAATCTAACTCACCATGATCAAAGTAAAATTATTAGTTGCACATTTTTGACCCTGAAATTGCGAGTTCTACATCAGAATTCTAAACTGACTTGATCGGGAATAGTCGAAGACGAGGCTGAGATTGCATTTGTGTACGTGACTATCATCCAAATAAAATGTACGCTATGAAGTAGCAGATGAATCACAAATTAATGCTTAGAGGAAGTCCCTACTTTAACTATGTGAAAGAATGAAATCAATTCTATCCGTAGTCAAATGGCTTACCTTTTCTGTTAAGCCACTCGAACCAGCCTTTAATGATTCCACATCCCGTTTCAATCGCGCATTTTCTTGCTCATTCTTCTGCATTACGGACATCAGCTCAGCATTTTGATCCTTTGTTTGTTCCAAAACATCTGAATAAAAATAATCCTGTTAACTTTAAATGAGATTCATAGAAACACCGAGTTTAAGCACAAGTTTCCAAAGCATTCTATAAACGTATCTAGAAATTCAACGCAGTGATTGAGAAGATTAAAGGTTCTTGTTGATCAAGCAACGAATTAAATAGTGGACCGTTGCATAGCCCTGAAATTTAGCAAAGAAATAGCAGTGTTGTATGCGCCTGGGACCGGTTTCGCAATGTGGCTGGAAAGGCTGCATGAAGAAAATTAGCTGTTTATATAGCCAAAAATGATAACAATAGTGAAGACTAAGAACTCACCTTGATACTATGGGTTTATTAATAAAATGCTACTTTCTCACAGCAGAGCAATAGTAATAACAATGGTACCAACGACAATGATAACAACTACAGTTATCAGATTGATAACGAGATGTCATCATATAATAAAAGTAGTGTCGACGACATTGATGCTAACGTGACACCTTATGTGATGGGGTGATATTAGGGCTGCAACAAGGGATGTTTGAAACAGAACGGCTCAAGTTTAATATAAGGAATGACAGCGCAACAAATCATGCCATGCTTACGCGCAATTTCAGCCAGTTGGTCGTTCAAAGCTTGCTTTTCGGCGTCCAAGCACTTCCTTTGTTCATCAGCGCATCTGCGTTCAAGCGCCAACCGACTTTCCAATGCGATTCGATCCGCATTCGACATCTCGACCTCGCTTTCTAACTCAACAACTTTTCTGCAACACTCTTGAAGTCTGTTTTCTACTTCCATATTGACTTCCTTCACAAGTTCTTGGGTCATTAGTGAACAACGAAGATAAATGCATACCTGATATCTGCGTATGTCTTCCATCAAAGACTCCGAAAGTGGGGATGACACCGTGGATGAAAAAGAATCAGCGACAGAACGAACCGGAGTCTTGCTACACAATGATGGGCTGAAGAGGGAACAGCCAACAGCCTTCGAAGGATCATCAGGATGGTTGTTGCACGTCGAGCTCAGTTTCTGTACATATAATTCAGTAAAGACATTTATACGTTATGTTTAGTGTTTTTGATGAGAACTTTCGGGAATAAATCAAGTCTCAAGTTCAATGTCTGAACGACGATCAACTACCAAAATAGGGGATGATACGTGATGACATGCCGCAATAGAGTACGTTCTTGATAATCAATGGATAATGAACATTTAACCCCATCCAACTCTCGAAAATCTGTCTAGAAATCATTTCTGACTGAAATCCAGACGAAGAAAGGACAAACTATCAACCCTGTTTGAATGAAGTAAGAACCGCATGCGTCCATCACACCCTCGAGAAATGTATGACCACGCAAATAAACGGGTCAGGAAGCTGAAGCCGGTGTAGCCAAATTTTTAATGAAACATTCAAATAACTGAGTAGTAACAAGTAAAGCAGTAGCATTCTACAACAGCTTTGGTGTCGCTGACTTTTCAGAGATAGCTTATCAGGTTAGTCATGACAGCTGAAACTAATCAAAACCAGACAACGGCAGACTTGGTCCTTATGTCTAGAGAATCACGGACTGCAAAAATTATATTAATTATGAGAAGCAATCTTATTCATAATTGTAAAAAAAAGTAATTAATTGTCATGGATATAAAGTTTCATACATTTTCAAACACGCATAAAATACTATGTTTCAATGAACAGAAGGCAGTGTATTTCGGTCAACAGAATTATACAAATTGCATCTGGCAGCGTAAGTGCGTATATACATACATAAGAGTTGTGGCATAGTTAAATGTCGACTAGGCATCCAGGAACTTTTGTAGGATCAAAACCACTTAATTCTACAATTCTCAGGAGATGTGCGCAGAGCAAATATAAAGCGCTTGTCGATATTCATTTCAGAGCAACATTCAAATAACTTTTGCGCAATGAGTTAATGTGCATACAAACTGCTGACTGCTACTACCAAATAACCACAAACACATGAAAATATGTGGCTCATTCAACTAAAACAATCAGCTTTCCAGAAGAAGTGGTTTCTCACTATGTGAACTAACCAGTCACACGTTATGACGACTGATCATGATTTTCGGCTAAACGGAATGAACGTACCACCTAGTTTGTGACAACTGATGTTCGCTAAGGACGTCACAAATGGTAGTTATGAATTCTGTACAATATACACGATAGTACCGCAATAGCTTCAATTCATAGATGTTAAGAATGAGACTATTTTTTCAATGGAACATGTCAGTCATGGTACAGTGACATGCTATTCATAAATTTACAGTGAAATATATTAATTTACCTTTAAAATCGACATGTGTATATCGCCTACTAATTTTTTTTGAAGATCTGACGCTCTAAGGGCTTTCTGAAGTTCAGTTATCTGTCGATTCGCCTCTAAGAGTTCAGCTGTCTTCTGGTCCACAATCTGTTCGTATTTTTCCTCAAGTTTTCTTCGATCATTTAAAAACTGAAACATCATATGCCAACAAAACTATACTCAGAAAGATTGATTTTTACCTGAGCCATATCGGTCATCACGAGACAGTTGGACCCCTCTTCTGATCCTTCGACGTCCATAACTTCTAAACATTAATGAAGATTCGAACCATATTAGAAAGAGCATAATGAGGAATGTAAAAACAGGAATCTCATCAAGAAAATGCACAATGTTACTCAGTTCGCCAACTAAGTGAAAACTTGTGACGTATTGGATCTGCGGCCGGAAACTCATATTCAAACCTGGTGCAATTCTACTTAGCCACTTACGTCACCTCAAGAATAAGAAAAGTGAGGAGCAGAAAGTTGGTTGGCTGTACCAACTCTGTTGCTCCTGTGGTTCGGCTTACGTAGGTGAAACAGGTAACACGGTTAAAGAAAGGAAGAGAAACCATAAGGAGAATCTGATCAGGTGGAAAAACGCTGATGCCAGAGAAAAGGGTCATCAGCAATTGGGCAAATGACGGAGACAGAAAAAAACCAAAAATTTTAAAG